GTGTGTGTGTGTGTGTGTGTGTGTGTGTGTGTGTGTGTGTGTGTGTGTGTATGCCCGCCCAGATCTCTTGGAGCTGGAGTTCCTGGCATTTGAGAGCAGCTAGACATGGGTGCTAGGATCTGGATTCCAGCAGTCATGCTAGAGCCTCGTTAGAGCAGCAAGATCTCCTGACTGCTGAGCCATCTCTCCAGCCCCGGCTGGAGATTTTAAGATCTTAGTTCTATTTCCCATGTTCTGAAATTTCATCAAGATAAAACCTGCTAAAGGTCCTTTTCAGTCAGAACCGAGATAAACCCCAAAGAGATCTACACCTGGATTCATCCTAACTAAACTGTTGAAAACCAAGGACAGAATTTAAAAAGCAGCAACCAACTGTGAGCTACACAGTTAGTCCCTGCTTAAGAATACTGGAGGAGGAGGGTGTGGGAGGAGGAGGGAGAAAAGAAGAAAGAAGGATAAGGTTCAGAAGCATTGTAAATTCTTAAAAAGGCAGCCAAACTAGGATTACATATTCAGCAGAGAAAATCAAAACAGATGAAGACATATGTTCAACAAAAACTAGTTCACAAGTGTTTACAACATTGTGTGTAGTAACCAAGAGGTAGAACTATCAAAGCATCCACCAATGGAGTAGTATGTGGTGTGTTCATTCAGGACTTACGCATTAATAGAAAGGAACAAAGTACTGATAGATGCTGTAGCGTTAGCGGGGCTCAAAAAGCTGTGAGTGGAAGAAGACAGCCACAAAAGGGCACACCCCACTTACTCCTACTATATTCAGATGTCCAGAGGAGACAGAGCTGCACAGGAAGAGATTAGTGGTTTCTGGGGGCTGGAGAAGAGGGATGATGAGCAGTTGCTGGTGGGTATAGAGTTTTTTTCTTTTGAAATGTGGCTATATTAAGGAAGTAGACGTTGTGATGGTTATACAATTCTGTGAGGACTTTGGGGTGATGAATTATCTTCATAAAAACACTGAAAAGCCAAAGGTACTCCGTTGAAGACTGAGTTCATAAATAACAACCCCAGTTCAAAAAGTATCAAGAGGCATAAATAATAGATTTTTGAGTGAGAGACAAGACACAATCTGGCCTTGTAACCTTTGGTGGCTAACAAATCAGAGACTGTCTTTCCCTAGTAGAAGGGCTGGCTGAAGACCAGTATGTCCACCAGCAAGTGTCTCCTGAAACTTCCAAATTCTTAGGAAAAGAGAAAAATCTTACATGCTTCTAGATGAAAAATAACATTGCAAATTCTTAAAAAGGCAGCTCACCTAGGATTATGTATTCAACAAAACCAGAGACCTTACATAGCCCCCATTCTTAAGATTATCTGACCATTTTCTGAAGGAAAAGAAAAAAAAATCACTTGTAGGGCTTGGCTATATTTGGCTTAAGCCAGAGTTTACTCAGCAGGAAAAATTTTTTTTTTCCTGAGAATGTACATCAGAAGATGGACTGGGCATGGTGAACATACCTTTACTCCTAGCACTTGGGAAGCAGAGGGAGGCCAGTCTCTGTGAGTTTGGGGCCTTCTAAGTCTCCATAGTCAGTTCCAGCCATCTAGGGCTACATAGTAAGATCTTGTCTCCAAAACAAGCTAACAATTTCCACAAAAGCCATGAGAGTGCTTAATCTATTTGTATTCAAGAGAAAACAAGGGTTTAAAACTTAGAGTTAAGCATTTCTCCCAAGCTAATCAAGTAAGAAAGAAGATTTCTAGGTGCATGATAGTAGAACTATTGGAAGTCAAACTCAGGGAAAGTATAAATACTGCCAACACACACACACACACACACACACACACACACACACACACACACACACACAGAGAGAGAGAGACAGAGACAGAGACAGAGACAGAGAGAGACAGACAGAGAGACAGAGAGCTCATCATAGCAATAATTAGACTGGCTTCTGGTTTTGTAGCAGGAAAAAATAGAAACCCTGAGACAATCTATTTAAAGGTTTTAGGGAAAATAACTACCTAGAGAAAATATCCTTCAATCACTCAGGTGCAGTAAAAATATTCAAACCTTAAAAACTGAAAGGATGTGTCCGCCCCTAGCCTCGCAGTCTCAACAGTGCTATGGGATGCTACTCGGGAGCAGGCGGATGATTCCAGATAGAAATTCACAGTAGAGAGGATTGAGACTCCGAAACCGGGAGGGCGTCTCTCTAGCTAAGTGAGCAGGCACTGTAAGACGGCACGTGAACATGTGTGTGTGTGTGTGTGTGTGTGTGTGTGTGTGTGTGTGTGTGTGTACAGGTAACTGGTGCGGCAAGGTTAATTAATGGTAGGAACTGAATAATTAGAGCCCAAAAGTGATTTGGACGGTATATTAGTTATTTTCCTGTTGCTGTGATAATCACTATGACCAAGGCAACTTACAGAAGGAAGAGTTTATTTGGGACCCAGAGGGAAAGTCCATGATGTAGGGGAGGCACGGCAGCGAGCTGCCGCCACATTGGCTGGAGCAGAAGCCAAGCTCTCCCACCGTGAACCTCAAACACAGAGAACAGCTACTAGCGGGGAGAGGCCTTCCGCTCTGCACGCCCTCCCTGATGATGCACTGCCTCCAGGAAAGCCTCGTTTCCAAACCTCCCAGAGAGTGTCACCAACTAGGATCCCAGGGCTCAAATGTCTGAGACTGTGGTGGGTTCTTCAGGGGACAGTGGTCATGAAGAATTCACTGCCTCGGCTACAGTTACAGCAAGGCATTGGTCTTCTCTAATCTACAAATGTGCATCTCCTCCTCCCTTATTTTCCTAATTCTCTCAGGTTTTTCTTTGTCTCAGTCTTGTCTTCCTGCCATCTTGTTCTTGGCATGGTCTTACCAATGGTGGCTGTGAGGATGTCGTGTAGAGTTAGAGTTGGTGGTGTGTGTTTAGTAGGGGTGAGAACACAGATCGCGTGGTAACTACCACTTTCCCTGTGGTAGGTGTGCATGGTGGCATTAGGTGTACAGCTGTCACCACCTCTAGCCCAGGCTTTTGTTGTCTTGAAAAGCTGAGAGACTTAGTAAATTTTAATGCCCTTCTTAGTTTTTAAAGGCATTTTATGCACATCTGTAAGACACTGACAGGTGTCTGGGGGTGCAGGGTGACTCTAGTGGAAGAGAGGAGTGGGGGAACAGCCGTGGGGAGAGGCACTGGAGGGAGACCTTGGAGGAGGGGTTTGTGGTCTCCAGCCAAACCAGCTCAGCAGATGAGTACACACGAGCATGCACGCACGCACGCACGCACGCACGCACGCACGCACGCACGCACGCACGCACGCACGCACTTACTCACTCTACCTGGTCCTCATAAGAGAGGTCATAGAATTCCTTGGAACTGGAGTTCCAGTCAGTTGTGAACTACCATGTGGATGCTGAGAATTGAACCTGGGTCCCCTGGAAGAGCAGCTGAATATCTAGCCCCTTAATATCTTTCAAGTAAGGAGATGTTGAATTCTTATCGATGGCATATTAAAGTTCAAGGACTGAGCATTTTCTCCCCCTTCCACAGTTATTTTTATATCAGGGAGCATGTGGGAGTCAGTGCGGTGTGATAATTCTTCCTGGGGTCATCTTTGTGATAGACTTGCTTCAGACTTAGGATGTAGTTTTGAGGTCATAGTATGACAGATTTATCTAACTGAAATGGTCCAAATTCTATTTAGTTTTAAAAAGAAACATTTAAGAAATCTTACATTTGATATGGGTTATAAGTATTGAGTTTTCCTTTTGGAAAGAGCTTTATTTTGTTACTGAATTTTAATTTTGTTATAGCATCATCTATATGTTGGGATTCATGGGTTATCGTACTTAGCCACAGCAGTCATAATCTGCAGGCATGTGTTGCCCAGGAGCTCATTTGTTGACTCTGAATTCCACTCTCTGGGAACCTGGAAGGCCCCCTCAGCACAGGCTCCACTCCACTCATGCCTTACTATATTGTGAGGAGGGAGAAGGGAAACAGAATGAGAAAACAGGCTTTCCCAATCCCCTCTCTTGCTGGCAGTGGGACCATGGTGTCCTTGGGGTATTATTTTAAGCTTTCTGTGGGTTTGTTTAGAGCAATGAACTAACTAAAACTTGGTGCAAAGGGTTCTTTTTCCCCATCTTGATTCTGTAGCTTGCAGTGAGCTGCACACTCCATCGCTAGATCGGAAACCAAATAGTTTTGTGGCTGTGAGTGTCACCACCCCTCCGCAGGCGTTCTGGACGAAGCATGCGCAGACGGAGATCATTGAGGTGGGTGCTGCTGGTCCCGCTCCTTCCTTCGAGGAGCCCTCATGCTCACAGATGTCGGTGGCCCTAGCAGAAGGGCTCTTCAGTTCTTGGGCATCTGAGGCTTTAGTTCCATTTTTGTGAGTTATTTTCCATGATTTTCTGTTCATTTATACTTTCTATCATGCTCCCCCAGGTGTCCCTTAGTCTGCCACATCCTTCATGAGTTCTGATGAACTATTGGTTGCTGTTCTAAAGAAGTGATCCCATGGTTGGTTTGCTTTTAAGAGATGAGACCCAACTCTCCTGTCACTTCCAGTTGGCTGCTATCATTATTGCTCATTAATCAGTGCCTGGGAGAGAGTTTCCTGTTAGGCTGGGACATGGTTGTGTTTTTATTAACTTTACTTTTGCATTCTTTTGTGTTTTGTGTTGTGCGCTTTTTAAAATAATTTATATAGCTTTACTTAGGAAAGTTTACAAAGTATTTTTAGATAGTTGAGTTATATATGTATATATGTATGTATATATATCATTTATGTATATGAGTTATGGCATGAAGTGTAGGAGTTTCTGATATGGAATTCCATAGGGCTTTATTTGTAATATGAATAATTACCAATTTATTACCAATTATTACCACATTAAGCTCCATCTTAATTTTTATATTCCTGAATTTTTATATAAGAACATAATAATACATAATTTGATCTCAGGTTTTCCGTTTAGAAACCAGGCCCTTCTGAGAGTCTCTCCGAAGCTTATTTCCAAGTCAGGCCGTCTATGGTCTAAGCACTTGTTGAGCTCTGGCCTCATGCCAAGCACTGTACTAACTGTTGGTACCAAACCCACAAGGGCACAGTCCTTGCCCTCAAGAGTTTCCCATGGGGGAGGCCCTGAAATTTACCTGGCCACTTCCATGCACAGGAAAGCATGGGGAGCACTGGGGTATCAGGGTGAGGACACAGGAGCAGCATCCCTTCCAGCAGGCTTCCTAGGTAGGACTTCAGGGAGTTCTGCCACAGCAAGCCCAGGGTCCTGCAGATCTTGCAGGTAAGTCTGTGCTTCCAGTCTAGGACTGTACATAGTTATGTGAAGGCAGGGTGATAGCAGAGCATCATGGGAGTTTAAGAAGTAACTATATCTATCTTGGTGTGTGCAGGAAGCAAGCTCTGTAGGCTGAGTATTCCAGGGCACTTGGGGTCCGCAAAGGAGCCAGCTCTGTGGGACTTGTGCAGGGACGTCGCATGACCTGACAGGTGTTGGGGGGGGTGCAGGGTGACTCTAGTGGAAGAGAGGAGTGGGGGAACAGCCGTGGGGAGAGGCACTGGAGGGAGACCTTGGAGGAGGGGTTTGTGGTCTCCAGCCAAACCTGCTCAGCAGACAGGGAGTACCAAGGCTGAGGCCCAGATCTTCAGCCTGCTTACCCAGGGCACATGGAGGGAAGACGGGGAGGCCTCGGCAGAACCCCTAGGAGGGGCTGCCCAGCAGGCACTGAGAGACTAGACGGCTGCTGAGTGATGGGGGGCATCACTCAGGTACAAAGAGGGCCCAGTAACTGTTTGGCTGAGGTACTTAGCATTGCTGAAAGAGCGAGAAGGGTATGATGGATCGCTGAGGCAGAGCTGCCAGAAAATAGACACCTGTGATCTAGAAACTAGAACCTGTCCTAAAAGAGGACTGCTCTTAAAAGGTCAGCTTTAATTATTCCAAACACAGGATTCTAGAAATAATCACTGAAACTGGCCATTTCCTCTTTGTCGGCCTGTGCACACAGCAGACAGGAACAGCCCTAAGTAACAGTCTGAATATGTAGCACACTGAAAACCGTACTGCCAAGAACACATGTGGCTGGCAAACCCAAACTCATTTCAGGTTAGAAAAGCCTCCCCGAGGAGTGGGAAACCTCTAGGAATGAGGAGGCCTCTGCACAGCGTCCTCAGGGGCCATTTGTCATGTCATGTCATGTCATGTCATGTCATGTCATGTCATGTCATGTGATGAGATAGCTTGTCAGGCTGCACCCCCTTTGGAAAGCAGGGCTCTGGGGCTGGTGTCTTGTGCTGCCATTAGCGTTTGTGTTGAACAGATCAGTAAAAATGTTGATTTCCTCATTCAGAAAATGTTAGGACAGTTTAAAAACAATTCCTTAAGATAGAATCCGCCTCTGCTTTCTGTTCTAGGGAACCAACAATCCTATCTTTCTAAGCAGCATCGCCTTCTTTCAAGACTCCCTCATCAACCAGATGACACAAATCAAGCTGTCTGTGTACGATGTCAAAGACAGATCTCAGGGAACAGTTAAGTAACTCGTGGTTTGCGGAACAGCCTCCCTTCACTAGTCGTTATGTAACAGTCCGGACAAGGTGTGAGCACAAGATTGAGTTCACTGCTGTCTTATGAATTAACTACATCAGAGCATGCTTGTGTCGTGGAATTCACTTGTGAGCATTGTGATGCGTTCATGAGGTGATGTAGTTAATTCATAAGCCAGCAGTGAACTCTGGCTGGGGGTGTTATAGGAACCACCCAGTTTCCCTGTGTTGCGGTATGTGGATCAGAGAGACACCGAGTATCCTTAAACTGCATCTCCCTGCCTCCCTCAGATGTATTTATTGGGCTCTGGAACCTTCGTTGTCAAAGATCTGCTCCAGGACAGGCATCACAGATTGCATCTGACACTGAGGTTGGTGTTTGCTTTATACCCCTTGGGAAGGGTCTGAAGTTTTGCCCCTCCATCCTCCTAGAGACCGTCTAGGAGGAGGCAGTGGTGTCTGCCGAGGAGAAGTGAGATGAACCGCTCAGTCTGTCAGGATGGTGCCTTGCTGCTCCCAGGGTCCTGATGACCCGGGATGGCCGAGCTTTGCCTTCAGACCATCAAGGCACGGTGCTTGTTGCAGGTCTGCAGAGAGTGACCGAGTAGGCAACATAACTGTGATCGGCTGGCAAATGGAGGAGAAGTCGGACCAGCGGCCCCCTGTGACCCGGTCTTTGGACACCGTCAACGGGAGGGTGAGTGGGCACCTTTCTCATCTCCCTCCTCCGTACAGGAGGGTTGGACATCTTCGTGCCTCTCTGTGCTCCGTCAAGGGCAGGGCCTGCTGTTTGACACTGCCTTCCATGGCTCTCGGCTCTTTCTCGGGTATGACGCCGCATGGAACGGAAGGGCTCCTGTCTAACAGACAGAGCCCTGCTGACCTGGAACCGGCCTGTGCTCTCTGTACCACACTGGCCACTTCTGTGACACAGGCATATATGTGGGAAGGTGTGAGTGAGGAGGTGATAGAGACCTGTGCCCCCCATTATATTCTGGTAGTAACTGTCTTTCCTAGACACAGTCACCTCCTTCACACCCACTTCCTCTCAGGACTGTCCCTTCCTATCCTCTGTCTCCTCATGGCCCACACAGTCTCTCACCCAGACACTATTACCAAATGAGAATTCCAGTTTAAGAGTGTAGCCCTATCAAGGAAGCATTATAAAATACAAAGCTACCTTATTTTGCCTGAAGTATGCTCAGAACACTAGCACTGAGGATGTTCTTGATACCAGAACACTGAGACCCAAGGTGAAATGACTTGGAAGACAGGTATGTGATGAAAAGTAGGCATGCGTGGAGTATGGGGAGGGGCGTCAGTGTGTGTGGCTGGGCAGCTTGTACACTGCACATTCAGCTGTCAGGTCTTGTGTGATGCACGAGGCCTCATTTCTGTGGCCGCTCTGGAGTCCTCGGTCTCGGTGTTCTTATGCTTTTCTGTACCTGTCATCAGATGGTTCTGCCCGTTGACGAGAGCTTGACTGAGGCATTGGGAATCCGATCCAAATATGCTTCTTTGCGAAAAGACACTTTGCTGAAATCAGGTAAGCAGCTTCTCTGTTGATGCTCTTGCCTTTCTTGTGACTGTCCCTGTGCCACGATTGTCACAGACATGCCCCCAGTACTGTCTGCTGCTGTTTTTCAGTGCAGCATTTCCCGCAGTATGTAGAGCAGTGACCCCTTAAGGAAGGGGCTCCTTCATTTCACTCTTACCTGACATTGCCGTTAGTGACTGACAGTGTTCCCGCCCAGCTCCTTACACTGTAGTTACTTCCATCTTCTGACATAGGGAGGAGTGTGGTACAGCCATTTGTCGGGGCTTGGGTTAAGTGGGTTTTGGTGTTTGTTGTTGCTGTTTGCTTGCTGGTTAGCTTTCTTGGGAAAAACAGGGCCTGAGGAAGGGGAACCATGCAGGCAGGTCTGCAGCCATTTCACTCACAGCCCATCTTCTTGTGTTCCCACCCAAGTGTTCGGTGGCGCCATCTGCCGCATGTACCGGTTCCCCACCACTGATGGCAACCACCTACGGATCCTGGAGCAGATGGCAGAGAGTGTCCTCTCCCTGCACGTGCCTCGGCAGTTTGTGAAGCTGCTGCTGGAAGAAGATGCAGCCAGGTGATCCACACGGAGAGGATGAGCACGCACCACCCCATCTCATGTGCACATGCCTTAGGCTCTGCAGACCCAGGCTCCATCGCATGCTGCCTTTGTGGCCCTAGCCTTCCAAAGCCTTAGTTTGCTCCTCTGACTCACAGATTGCTGGGCGAGGATTTCCCAAGGCTGTGTTCTTGAAGCCCCCAAGGCTTGGCTAACATCAGTGTGTCTTCCTTTTGCCTGTCTCTTTTTCCTCCCATTCATCCTGTCTGGGGCCACAGAGATAAGAGCTCGGAAGACATCCTCCAGGGCGCTCTCCTTCCACAGAGCAAAGCTCTCATCCTGGGCATATTTTTGTTTCAGTTCCAAGTAAGGGTGAGGCCATTTCCTGTTTGTCTCAGACTATGACTTCCACACCTTTTTCTAAATCAGTGTTTACATGATTAACATCATGTAAGCAGAGTCCCAGTATCCTAAAACAGATGTTTTCATTTTCACCCTGAAAAAAAAAATCAAAATTTGAGAAAAATAACAAGAATACAGTGAGTACCACATACCTTTCATCTAAATTTTATAAACTAGTATTTTGCTGTTTTATTCTGTTTATGTACATATTTGTATCCTAATTTTTTTTTTTTTTTTTTTTTGGTTTTTCGAGACAGGGTTTCTCTGTGTAGCTTTGCGCCTTTCCTGGGACTCACTTGGTAGCCCAGGCTGGCCTCGAACTCACAGAGATCCGCCTGGCTCTGCCTCCCGAGTGCTGGGATTAAAGGCGTGCGCCACCACCGCCCGGCTGTATCCTAATTTTAATGTATAGTTGTTACTTATCCACACTTATATAGCTATTGTCAGTTTCTCTGGGCACCTTCCGTTTTCATGGTTTAATTGTCACCACACTGGGGTTGGGGTGTGTGTGCCGTGGTGTCATGTGGAGGTCAGAGGACAGCTTTGTGGACTCCATTTTCTCCTCTAACCACGTGGTTCTTAGGGATCTAACCCAGGCCGTCAGGCTTAGCAGCAGGCGCCTTTACCCACTGAGCCATCTCCCTTCGCTCTCATGTGATCTTTTACTGTTGCCTGCCTTCCGTTTCCCTGTGCATTGCTGCTGGAAAGAGCCCCTTCATTAGGCAGGGGCTTTAGAGCCAAGTGATTGGCAGCAAGTCAGTGTGGGCAGCAAGGATGCTCCTCAGGAAGGGAGATGGGGGCCCCTCCCAGAAGTGTGAGACTGTCACTGTGTGCTTGACATGGAAAGGGAGTTGTTAGAGTGAGGGTGGGGAGGTGAGTGGTTTCCCACATCCCCTGTCCCTTCTGTTCTGGAATGTCATCCTCCTGCAGAGAACTGTGCCAGTGCCTGAGAGGTACCTTCAAGGTCAGCAGGCAGAGCTACTCCTTAACTGCTCTTTCCTCTCCCCACACCCACTGTTGGCCTTGAGCATGGACCCGAGTTCCTATAAAGTTTCTCCATGTGCTTCCCACGTGCTCAGTGATCACTCACATCACCCTGTGATGGCCACTTGATTGCCCCTTAGACTGGCGGTGTAACTGCTGGCCAGGCCCCCAGAGCAGCACAGCTGCTTCTCCTGTACTCTGTGGGTTCTCGGCACAGTTCCAGGGGAGGGGAGTCAGCCCTGTGGCCTGCTATGTGTGTCTTGTTTCCAGAGTTTGTGAGCTGGAAGAGTTGGGGGAGCTGTCTCCTTGCTGGGAGAGCCTCCGAAGGCAGATTGTCACCCAGTATCAGACCATCATCCTCACCTACCAGGAAAACCTGACGGACCTCCACCAGTACAAAGGTGGGTGTGGCGCTGTCCTCCCAAGGTGCATGCATAGCCCACATGCCCAACCAGATATCTGAAGGCCCGCCCGGGCTGCTCAGACTCGCACTGAGTATCTTGAGTGGGTTTTTAAAAATAGATTCTCATGTAGGTGTGAATTATTTCAACTCTGGGGTTTTCAGATCTTAATTAAAATGATAAATTGGTGAATTGCAAGAAGTCTTCCTATGGTGTTATTTCCTAAAACAGCTACTGTAGGATAAGGTTGAAGCAAGGCAGGTTCTCAGGTTATCTTGGTTCATGCGGGTTCTTCTTAGTCTCACACCACTGAGGATCGAAAGGCTGTTTGCCTGAAGGAAAGTGGTGTTCTAGTTTAAATACTCAGTGTCATGTTCTAGTTGAAATACTCAGTGTCATGTTCTAGTTGAAATACTCAGTGTCGTTTTTACTGAACATGTAAGTTGTCAGGGTGCAGCTCTTCATTTTAAGGCTTAAAAGAGAAAGTAAAGTTTAGGCACCTCAACTTTTTTTTCTTACTTGCTTTTTCTTCTCCCCAGGCTGGAGGCTGGGGGTCAAGTCCAGGGCTCCCTGCATGCCAGGAAAGCACCCCGCCACTGTTTATTCTTGAAAATGATATTTGATTTTCAAACTGTGTGAATTTTTAAAATCTATTTTCTTTTTATTCCAAATGGAATGAATTTTTTGTTTCTTAATTGTTTAGTCTTTCAAAGTACTTTTTTTCTTATGATTTTTTATAAAGATGCACTTTTATTTTATTTTTTAGATTATTATATAATTACAGCATTTCTCCCTTCCCTTTCCTCCTTTCTTTCAAAGTATTCTTTATCTTTGGTGTCTTTCCTTCTATATAATGCTTTGTCAATTTAAGGAAAATCTTAAACCCTTAATGTGACTTTCATACAGAATATAAGAACTTGTCCATAAACTTAGCTGAGAGGAAATCAGGGCTCAGACAAGATGGTGGTGCGCGGAACTGGTCCAAGCTCAGACAAGTCCAAGGGCATCGTTTAGAGAGATGGCAGCATTTGCTTGAAGGGTTGAGGCAGCTGCCCATGCTGGATAAGCGCTCTTGAGGAAGCGTGAAATCCGTGCAAACCTGAGTTTACTAGGCTAGAGCTTCTCAATGTCAAAGCACCCAGCTCTTCTGAATCTCGGTTCAGCACAGGCCTTGGTTGTATTTCCTGCAGTGTCACAAGACACACGGACACGGAAGTCTGAGAGACACCGTGTGGCTGTCAGACTCGTGTGACAAAAGGCAGGGCACGCGGCTGCTGTCTGCCCGAGAGCCGCAGATGCATCGTTTCTTACTAGTTGGAATGTTGATTTCTTCACTCTTCTGTTGTCATTTGCATCTGCAATCCCTTTGGGTGGTGGATATGTGATGCCTCATGTCGTTATGGATTCTGGATTCTGATTCTAGAAATAAGATGGTGGCAGCTGGTTACATTGTCTGAGCTCTCTAGGGACAAGCACGTGTGAAGAGGGACTTACTGGAGAGGGCAAGGCAGGCTTCAGGGCCATGTAGCCTGGTTTATCTTGATGGACCTAAGGTGAGGAGCAAACCTCTCATCACTTCGGATTGAGATGTACTGTTTCACGAAGACCAGTTTCTAGGCTCTTGGATGGCAGCAATCTGTAGAGTTGGCAGGTAGTCTCTGACATGGTCCACTGGCTTTTATAGTGGTGTTGGCATCACACTGCCTAAGGTCATATCTGTGTGTCATGCCTGTGAGTTGAACTGAATCACAGGAAGGATGGCCTCATCACTACTGTAACCTAAAGGTCCTTATCCCTGGCTCTGCTCACCAGATAGCATTTAGAGCCAGCCCCTTACTGTCTTGAGAGGCCACTTGGAATTTTCTAGGCCTCGGTGGAGATACACCTGCTTCCATGCATCAGCAGGTCTAGGTTACTGCTTTCCTACTGGTGCGTGATCATGTTGATGGCTCTGTTTTCTTGTGTACCATTTCTTAGGTCCTTCATTTAAAGCAAGCAGTTTGAAAGCAGATAAAAAGTTAGAATTTGTTCCCACAAACCTGCACATACAAAGGATGAGAGTTCAAGACGATGGAGGCTCAGGTACTTATTTTTCTTACCCTGTTGTTGAATTGCGTTCTACTCCTTTCTTCCTGTGTACTTGGTCCCTGAGTTGCCCTATATCTGGCCCATTTTTCCTGTATGCTCCATTACTGGGCAGCAAGAGAAAATAAAACACACACACACACACACACACACACACACACACACACACACACACACACCTTTGAATAATTTAAGTTACAGAATCCAAACCTGTTCCTTACATATCTTCAACTTCCTTTGGTTTTTATGGCAGCAAGTTGCCCATCAACGAGCCTTTCCCAGAAGGGGTAAATGGCGTTACCTCCAGACACCAACTTCCTTACTGAATAGTTAGAATTGGGTCCAGCAAGCTCTTTATCAGCCTTGGCATGTAGGACCAGGGAGCCATAGACTGTTTGCATGTGGGCTGTAGGGTCCCAGAGTGCTGTGCATATTGCTGTTGCTGGCCTGTCTGCAGACCCGATCCCAGAGTAATGGAGGAAAGCTTTCTGTCACTCAGATCAGAACTACGACGTGGTCACTATCGGAGCCCCAGCAGCACACTGCCAAGGTTTTAAGTCAGGAGGTCTTCGAAAAAAGCTGCACAAGTTTGAAGAGTCCAAGAAACAGTAAGTGAAGGAGGGTATTTGTGGTCCTTGTACAGCTGTGTTTGATGTTTGTGAGTTAAAATAAAGAATCAAAACAAAACCGCAAAAAACATGCAGCCATCTGATCTGCTTCTGCGTGGCTGGAGGAGCTGCCTTAGGGACCCCGTGCTACTGTGTATGTGCATGTGGTTGAGTGAGTAAGTAGGGAGGGCACCTAATCAGTAGTCCACACTTTCCAGGGGAGCGGCATACACAGAGCCACTCCTGAGTCTGGCCTTCGGCAGCCACCCGTAGTGGTTCCTGCTAGCTCAGCTTCCTTTAGAATCTCTGGTCAGCCTCTGACAAGTCTATACTCTCAGGGGTCATTTTTATAATCCCTAAAGCCCCTGGCACTCTGTGTCCTTTCCTAAAGGATAGCGTGGCACGTATTCCAATTGTTGAAAGGATCCAGAGGGTTGTACAGTTCTGTCCTGAGCAGGATATTACCAGATAGGCAGGGTGTGGAGAGGCCTCTCAGATGAAGCATTCCTTGGATATCTTTCAAAAGGTCACCTGGCAAAATTTAAATGAATCCAAGGGGTGTGAGGGGGTGTGAGTGTAACACATGAGATGAATGATGATCCTGTGAAGTCCTTTGGTAGAATGGGAGATGGAGAAAGTAGCAAAAGGTCTCAGTTTCAGGAGACTAATTATGGGCTGAGTGAGTTTGCGCCACTGTGGAGCATGCATGTGTGTAAGGTGAGGTAGAGAGGAGAACAGAGGGGCAGGGCCTGTCCAGTTATCCCGGAAGGGATAAGGTGGCGGCAGGTGGGTTAGCAGAAAGGTCTCAAGGTGGGAGGGAGCAAGACAAAGGGTTACTGGAGACTGTGATCTTGAGTTGGGAGTAAAGTGTTTGAGAGACATGAAGCAAAGGTCCGGGGATCCCCCAGAGACCCCCACGTGGTGGCGTGTAGAGGCAGGTGGAGGCAGGTGCTAGCACAAATGGGGGCGGATTGGTCATTGCCTGGTTCTGCTGCTGTGGCCAGAGTAGGGTACTGTATGACTGGATCAGGATGCTGGACAGGTTAGGACAGTGGCCCATCGGGAAGACAGGTCAGTGTGCATGCCACTGATGTGGGTGGTGACTGAGCAGGGAGTAAGAGAGGACATTCTCAGAGAGGTTGCCCTTCCAGTGTGTCGACCAGCCCTGGATGTGGGAGGAGAAGCCTGGCAAGGCTGGGCTCAGCAAAGCCTTTTCAGCGTTCTAGTGAGGCCTTCAGACAGCCTTGATCACTTCCTACCGAGCAGACAAATTGCGTGGCCACACTGTCCCAGGGAGTAGGAAGAAGTGCAGAGCTTCCACTGGCCATCCCAGGTCTGTGGAGTCAGCCGGAAGTGTGTGTGGCTGTCCCGCCATTGCCTGATGCTGTGTGGAAAGAGTGAATATATGAGCTGAGGTGGTGTGGTTTCCTGAGAGAGAAAGTCCATTCATTCTAGGTGACAGTCAGGAGGGGACTCCTGGATATCCCTGGTCCCTGAAAGGTTGTAGTTTTGATACCAGGTGACTTTATATTTTAGCTTCAGAACTTATTTTCCCAATGCCTCTTGTGTTTTTTCAAATATCTAGTACAGATGTTATGTAACTTTGTACTAATGTCATAAACCCACTTTCTGACAGTTTTCTCTCGGAGCTTTCCTTTAAATGTGCACGTCCTGTGCCCTAGTGGGATATCCCTGGGGCTTGAGGACAGGCCACAAACTTGCTCCAGAGAATAAGGATTGAACTCATAAGTTTGTTTATTCCCATAATCATAGCCTCAACAAATTACCTCTAAGTATTTTGAGAAAAAGAAAATCAGTCAGCGTTTAAATTTTGTTTTGCCTGTAGTATTTTGCTAACAATTGCTAATGCTTCGTTTTTGGTTTTTTTTTTTCTTTAGCAGTTTTGAGGAGTGTTGGTGAGTTCTCTGTCTGTGGAGAGAGTGTATGTTGATTCTTGCTCTTATGCAGAGAAAGCCTGTGCTGTCCTTCATCTGGGTGGCTCCATCCCATTTGGCGCGTGGCTCCGAGTTACATGTCCTGTAGGCAGAGCTCTTCCTTCCAACTGCAATGTTCTTTGATAATGAATAGCCAGTCTGCAGTCTGCAGCCTTCCTTCCAAACTGACAGCGGTTTCTCCCTGTGCTCAGTAGAGACAGGGTGCAGTGTGCCTCCTCCCAGGATGCAGAAGAGCCCCTTTGGGGCCCTGGATGCTGGAGTATTACATCAGCCTACTGGTACATTTGGTAACATATACCTTTACCCAGTGACCCATTGGGAGCCCCCCCCCTTTTTTTTAATTTCAACACATGGTAGGCAAAGCTTCATCTCCAACTCCAACCATTTAAAAATTTTTTTGTTTTGTTTTGAAACAGGGCTCGCTAAGTTTACCCAAGCTGGCCTTGAACTTGCCCTGCAGCCAAGGTTTTTTTTCTCAAATTTATAACCCTCCTGCCTCAGCCTTCGGTATCTGGGATTACAGATCTGTGACATCAGGCCCAGTTAGTCTTCATTTACAGGAGTTATGAAGCCTTTGAGTTTTCACTTTCCCTGTCTGATAGAGCCAGTTAATTTTCATAATACTTCTTAATTTGTGCTGACTTTAATGATGGTCTTGTTAAGGCCAGTTTACCCATTGGATATCAGAAGAAGAGCTGAGAGACCCTTTCCTCCAGAGAATTAGATGGGAGCCAGAAGCTACTATGTCTACCTAAGCTCTATTCCTTAGTCCCAGACTGAGAAACCAGCAGCTCACCAAGAAGAGGCCCCATAGCCCTTGATCTAATGACCCATGAGGCTTTGGGGTTGGGGCTAGATCCTAGCTGAGATGCCAGGGCTCTGCTGGGAACACACAATGGCCTGAAGTCCTGAGAACCCACAACCACCTAAGGTGAGGCATCACCAGTTTTCCCTTAAGGGGCCCCTTCCCTGGAGTCCTGAGGGATGAAAGAAGGCATCTGGGAGGGGTGCTGCCCTGCCCCCCTTCCTCCATAGCTGTTTTATAGAAGTATCCCTTTTCCCTCCTGGGCTTCTCTGGAGGGAGGCTCAATCTTTTCCACAGCAGGATGAGTCAAATCCCTAATGCCCTGAGGGATAGCCATGAAAGTATGACATGGAGAGCCAAGGGCCCCACTGCCCCTTGGTAAGTCCCAGCCCAGGTATTTTATGTGAACCGTATCTGGAAAGTTCTTCAGATTCCATCTTAACTGAAAACTCTAGACTTTGCATGTCTCAGAAAGGGCTTGGTTACTCCTATCCTTTCGCTCTCTTCTCCCAGGATACCAGGCATTCCTAAGACAGGTGGGGAACCTTCCCATCTGTGGCAAAGGGACACCCAAATCTGGGGCAGGGGACCCAGTTCCACAGGACTGTCAGCTATGCATTGACAGCCTTACTCAGGCTGTGCTGTTATGCAGAGTATCTCTGCATGTCAGGTACTCTACTTACGCTTACATGGCACTCTGTGTGTGTGAGGAGGTAGGAGTCCGCAGCCCTGGGCTAGGGGTTTAACCTAAAGCCCAAGGACCGCACATAGGCCATTCCCTCCTGGGCCTGTTGCAGGAAGATCTGGGAGCCCAGATAATGAGTAGAACAGAGATGCCCTCCCCTGGAGGACTGTGTACTACAAGGCAGTAGAGCCTCTGCACCCCGCCCCCCCCATTGCCTTGGTGTGGCTCCTGATTTTGGAGTTAACTAAATACATGCACTTACCTACTCCTGATGTCCCCAAGAGTAGTTCTTTGAACTTGCCCATTTGTACCTTCACCACGTGCTTCCATGCGTCAGTCCTAGAGAGGTGCTATAACATGCCTTCTTAGAGCACAGGGTGAATGGGGGCGATGGGCACCTGTCAGAGTGTGTGCAGCCATGGGCATACGCCACAGTAGACCTACACACACAGCACATAGTACATTTGGACTCGAAAGGTTGAGGACCAGTGAGACCAGATTCTTTTTTTTTTTTTTTTAATTCTTTTTTAAAATGTTATTTCCAAGCCCCGATTGTCCCAAGGGGGAGCTATTCATTTGGGCAAGAGGTTGCAGATGGGAGAGCAGCTCCTGCACGCAGCGCTGTGCACGTGGAATGACTGTAGCGCTGCACAGGCTCATCGCCGTCTGCTGCATGGGCTTCTGGCAGATCCATCATCGTCCGCTGTGGTGTGTGGCCTTGTGGTGGTGGGGTTTCCTTCCGGGGCAGTTTGCTTTGTGGTGTTTGCATGTTTGCCCTGTAGTCCAGAAAGAGAAAGGGCAGTGGCGGTTTCTTTCTGACTTGCTTCTGGGCCTCCCTGGAAAGGTCTCAGGTGACTCTCGTCTCCAACAAGTGGGGGAGGGTGTGGTAAGGGTCACACTCTACTCTCCATATCGCCCCCCATCCCTGGAACTCAAGGCCATCCCTTTATTCCAGAAGGAAGGGGACAACGTTCTGTCCAGAGCTTAGTATCTTCAAATCCTAGGAGACCTCTGCATTGGTGACTTATATCTCCTCATTTTTTCAGGCATCCTCAGATGGTCTCAAAAACAAATTAATAATGTTTGATTGATTGAGACCTGAGCTAAGAGACATAAGTTTATTATTGCCATCTTGGAGAACCACACATGCTGACCTCACCCATGAAGCTAGGGCATATGGAGTTGGCCCCTCAGAGGCTCCTGATTCTGCTGGGCAGCAGCTGGCCTGGCACTTTGACATCTCGTTCCCATATACATATGCTGCTCGGTGGTGAGGAGGTGGGAAGGAGGAAGGACTGGGGTTTCAGAGGCACTGAGGTGCTGGGCCTGCCTCTGTTGGCACGGTCTCTTCTCTCTCTTATGGAATGCTCTTGTCAACGTAAGGATGTCCTGACAGGCGAGAGAAAGGAATCCCAGTGGTGGGAACTTGGCTGTGGTTAATATGTAAGAGAAAGATGGGGGTTTGCTCACAGGAAGTCGAAAGGCCCTGGTGGCCAAATGAAGGAGCAAACGTTAGGGTGTGGTTTTTGGTTCTTTGGTTGTCTGTTTTGTTTTAATATATAGTCCAACATCTATTGCAGTGTAGTAATTTGATCCTTTCTGGTGTAAGCAGACTCCACATCTCTATTGAAGGACTGCTTATAAGTTAATAGATGAAATTCCTAGGTAAGACCCCAGCATTGGGTAATTATTACAGTGACATTCCAATGCATTTATAGACATGTTCATGCTTGTGGTAAATATATAGACACAGGTACAAGTACACATAAAAGCCTTAGTCTTCTATATATATTTTATGCTTCTCATTAGATTAAAAAAAAAATCTTCCAAGATTGACCTTTACCCATCAGTGACTAAGCCTCTTTATTTTAGGGTTAGATACCTCTGTATTTTAGGATTAGTTGTGGGTGGGTTGGATGGTCTTGGAGAGCCCCTTAGGACCTGTTGTTCCTTTTAGTACATCATCTAGCTGCCAGTCCATAATCTACATACCACAGGACATCATCCGAGCCAAGGAGATCATTGCCCAGATCAACACCCTGAAAACCCAAGTTAGCTACTACGCAGAACGGCTCTCAAGGGCAGCCAAGGACAGGTCTGCCACTGGCCTTGAGAGGACACTCGCCATCTTGGCAGACAAGGTAGGAGGGGCTGCCCGAATGCATGTGGGGTGGAGAGGTCCCTTGGGTTTCTGGAAGCTACTGGACCACCAAGGGCCACCCAGGCATGTCTAGAGCTGGCCTTAAGAAAGTGGCATTGTGACGACCTTGAAGCTTTCTCTTTTATTAAAGTCCACATCCCAGAAATTCACAGGGAAGTCTGGGGATCTGCCCATGGTCAGAGCCCAGGTTGTGACTCTCAGGTGTGGCTTGAGGCCAGTGTGTTGATGTGTCTTCTAGCAAGCAAATCCCTGCATTTATTTTCTTGGGACTCGTTGCCCACATCAGCTTCCTTAGTGACTTCCTAGTCAGCACCTATGTAGTAGCAATTATTCAGACATAAGAAATGAACAGTATAATCTTATTGGCTTATATATAATAATTTTAAAAGTTCTGTCTAACATCACGCAGTCCTGATTTAAAAAAATCTCCACACTGAGAGAGTAGCTATATCAGCTTCTGATGGATGGTGTTCTTTCCAACTACTCAGTCTCTTTCCCTTCGCACACAGATTCTGCTTACACCTCTCCACCCACACCTGATTTGCTGGGTAGGAGCTGTTGTTTGTGCGCAGAATGTGTTATATTCTTCACATGAGTTTGCACAGTATAAAGACAGACCAGGACCACTAGGAAAGGAAGCTATAGTCGTCAGCAGTAGAACTAGAAATGGCAGGACTCCTGTTGCAGTCTCCAAAACCAGGAGTCCAATAGTTCAGAGCCTGGAACATTCAAAAACGCTCTAGTGGTTGAACAAAAGTAACGTGTGACTACTGGGGACTAGCCTCTGCCAGGCTGGGGCACATTCCACCATGCTGTCAAGGCTGGAGTATGAGCCCTTTTCTCCAGTGAGCTGGAGCCAAAGGCAAGCAGAGCTAAAAATGTTAGATTCCTCAGCCCCTTTTCTTCTTCCTTGACCACTTCTGGGATAAACAGATCTCAAGCACACCCCTGTGTCCTCTAGTCTACCAGGAGATTCTTGCTGATATTATCCCTGCTGCCTTTGTATTCAGATACCCAAGAGAATGCTATCCTAGTAGGCTCTGTGGAGCAGGGTGGGTGGCAGAAGCCCTGGCCGTAGCCTGTCTCCTTCTTCAAGAGAAAGCATGCTTAGCAGCCCTGGTTTGTGTGTACCTACAGACCCGGCAGTTGGTCACTGTCTGTGACTGTAAGCTGCTGGCCAACTCCATCCACGGGCTGAATGCCGCACGGCCTGACTACATCGCTTCCAAGGCCTCCCCTACCTCGACTGAGGAGGAGCAGGTGATGCTTCGGAATGACCAGGACACCCTCATGGCCAGGTGGGCAGGGAGGAGCAGCCGGTCTTCCCTGCAGGTGGACTGGCATGAGGAGGAGTGGGTGAGTCTGGTGCCCCTGCCCGTTGGCCTGCTGCTGAACTTGGAAACGATAGAACTCCTGCCTGTGTCCTCCCTCACAGAGTGCCCAAAAGGCCGGCCCCTTTGTTAGCAGGCTCCAGCTCTGCTTCCCCGATGGCCCTAGGCCACTTGGTGCTGAGAAGTAGACTGTTTTCAGACCACGGTGGGTGGGAATTGTACATGATTGTGCCGGGAGCCAGGTCTCTCCTCTTCCTCAGTCCTTGGCTCATCCTTTGCCCTTTAGTGCTCTTTGTGTTCCAATGCAGGAGCTCAGGTGCTCAGGCTACTACTACCCCTGACATGTCACTTTGGTGTTCCAGAGTTGGCCGGAGAGCTGGATCCTTGTCTCTTTAGGAAGGGAACAGTCCACAACTTGTTGCCATTAGTTGGGGCTACTGCTCAGAGGCATCCTGTGAAGCATTGAATTATTAATTGGCAGCAAAGTGTTCCTCCAGCCCTGGCAGCCTGTGGTCTGTGTGGGTTTCTGCAGCTCACTTCCAGCCTGCCCTCTCCTTCTCCCAACTCCCTCACCCTGCCACCAGCTGTTTCCATTCGTGTCCATCAGAAGGAGACCTCAGTGTGTGATGACTGTAGATGGTCCACAGTGGAAGGGGAAAAGAGATAATGAGCTCTTAGTGCCCTGTGGCCTGTTGGGTGAGGCTGGAAGGCTGGCTGTCTTCCACAGAGTTGGCAGCGAATGTCTGCTAAGCTTTCAAGTCACTGACCACAGGCTGCAGATTGTCTTTGCAGAGTCAATCTGACTTGAACGGCAATGTAGACATGATCAGGGCCGGGACTAAGGGAGAGATGGGGGAGGCTGTGTTCTGTCTGTTCTTGTTCTTCTGTTGCACAAATTGACCCAAACAGTCTTCTTGGTTTGAAGGAGAAAGTGTGGCTGAATGTGGACAAGAGCCTGGAGTGCATCATCCAACGGGTAGACAAGCTGCTGCAGAAGGAGCGTCTGCATGAGGAGGGCTGTGAGGACGTTTTCCCCTGTTCAAGCACCTGCTCCAGCAAGAAAGGTAACCGGGGCAGCCAAGCCTACTGGATCAGACCGGAGGACCCCTTCTGTGACGCCCCCTCCTCGACATGTCCCTCCTCCATGCCCACTGCTGCATGCCATCCTCACCCAAGCACACGTGCGTATGCATCCACGCTTCCCACGCTGCCTCGACTCGTGCCTCATCACTTGGGTGTCTGTGTCTCTGACTCCGTGCCTGCCTCCCCCAAGCAGGCTGCAGGGAGGGCTGTCAGGCGTGCAGGATGTCAGCAGGAGTCCGCATGCGTAGAGCAGCAGATAGGCAGGGTGGAGACTCCTGTCATCTTTCCATGCAGCTGGAGCCCACCACATCTGCATCACCACCATGGGCTGACTGGGCCCTCCTGGGCCACAGTGTCATGGCGGGAAAGTCTTTTCAGGTTTGTAAGCCAACCTGAGAACCTGAAGGGGACTGGATGCAGATGTCTCTGTGGTGTTATTTTTGTTCTGTTGGGAATGGATAGACTGATTGAAAAAACATTAGTGAGCTTTGTAGGGACGACGATAGATGAGGGGTGCTTGCAGCCTCACAGGCTCTTCTCATTGGCTGGGCACACTCTTATCCAGCAGAAGCATGTTGCCTAGGGTCTTGTAACTCAGTCAGATGGCAGGTTAGTTAGAGTGACCTGTTTGACACCACTCTTAGAGGGGGTCCTTGAGTGTAGAACAGTGCCATGCGGCAGCACACTTCAGAAAGGGACACAGGGCACGCTGAATACTGCCCTTGAGATAGCTTGAAGCCTGAGGACTGATGTGTCTAAAAACAAGAGGGTCCTTGGTCCCCCCTCTCACCTTTCCTGTAAGAGCTGGAGAAATCTTGGGTCCAGTCATCTGAGCCCTGGCTGCACACCGAGCTTCTGCTCCTCTTCACTCTCCTTGAGAAGCTTGAAGGTGGAGTAAGGACAGTCAAGATGGGCAGGGTTAGGGTCCGTGTGATGAGGACTCCGAGATTCTTACTTGACAGTGGCCCTTGAAGGCAGAATCCTGAGCCTTTACCAGAGTCTCCGATAGATCCTTCGTGTGTTGTGTGTCCTTTGCCTCTCATCTGTCTGCAGTGTTTCTGGGGCGCTGTCCTTCTTGAGCCTCTGTTTCAGCAGTGTCTACATCATCTACTTTTCTGTCTCGGGGATTACAGCTGTCACCTTTCCAAGCCCGTCATCCATTCATCAAACTAATTTGTGTCTGATTTGTTCTCATTTTCCTGTTTAATTTTTTTTCTCAAAGTTCATTACTTACTTCTCTTGAATACTAACTTGTCTGTAGGACTAGGGATGTAGTTAAGTGGTAGATCACCTGCCAACTTTGTATGAAGGAGGCCACTTCAGAACTAAAGAAGAAATATATATAATTTTGTTTGTAACTTTAAATATTTTCTGCAGATACAGAGAAAAAAAATGGTTAGATATTTTAAAATTTAGGAGCTAGGCTGTTTGTCTTTGTGACTCATTTGTCTGTGGTGCTTGTCCTAGTTAGGATTTCTATTGCTATGATAAAACACCATGACCAAAAGCAACTTGGGGAGGAAAGGGTTTATTATAATCCATCATCCAGGGAAGTTATGGCAGGAACTCAAGACAGGAACCTGGAGACAGGAAATGACACAGAGGCCATGGAGGAACACTCCTTACTGGCTTGCTCAGCCTTATACAGAGATGACACCACTCAGAGTGGACTGAGCCTCCCACATCAACCCCTAAATAAGAAAACGCCCCTACGGGCTTGCTGAAAGGCCAGTCAAAGGCTGAATTGTTAACCCAGGACCTGTGCACACGCCAGCCTCATGTAAGCCTAAGATCACATGCTGCAATTTGCAAGTGACTAGGGAGAAAGTCCATAGTGGTCATCAAATCTCAAAGGACTCCATGACCTAAGACCAGTTAGGAATCTCTAATCTGAGAGTACCAGAGGAGTCTCCTTTCTCCCCTTGGGTGGAAAGGTATGTTTACCAAACTGAGTTTTCCCCTAAGTAAACTCTCACAGGAGTAGTCCCACCCTGAGATCACCACAGTCATTCATAAAGCAGGCTCCTAAACTCTCCTCCTCATCCGTGACTCAGAGTCCTGGAGGAGAGGTTATGGAGTGGCAAAAATAAACAAACATACACAAACATGCAGCTTTTCAAGGCTTGGGATAATTCTCCTTAGCCAGATAGAGGTTAAATCTCTGGGTGCATCGGGTTTCACACCCACGAGGGTTCCCGTCCGTTAGCTAGCTGGTCTCAGGGTTTGAGTGCTGACCAGAGAGGCTGAGCCCTCCAACTTACAGAAAGCTTTGTATGTTCTTTCCTCTGGTCAGTTTAAGAAGTCATGTCCAAACACAGCAGAGGAAGGACCCCTGCTCATCCCCCCGACAAACCCCTAAAACTCCTCTGGCTAGTCTTGGGGATCTGAAGCCTTCTTATTTCAGTTCCCTATGGACATCCTTTGAACTAAAGTTCAAACACAAAATGAAATTCAGTTTTACTCCTTTGATGCCTTTTCAAACTGTATTTTTTTCAGGTGGCACATCCATTTAACTAGAAATTTTAGCATTTTTAAAGGGCAATGTGAAATTGAAATGAGTACATCCCAGTAAGACTCAGCAAAAGTAGACTAGAATCAAAATTGGTGTGCTTTGAAGACCTGAGGGACAGTCTAACTGGAGGACAGCCTAACTGGAGGACAGTCTAGCTGGAGGACAGTCTAACTGGAGGACAG